AACCCACAGCAAACCTCATTCTCAATGGTGAAAAACTGAAAGCATTTCCTCTAAGATCAGGAACAAGACAAGGATGTCCACTCTCACCAATATTATTCAACATAGTTTTGGAAGTCCTAGCCACGGCAATCAGAGAAGAAAAAGAAATAAAAGGAATACAACTTGGAAAAGAAGTAGTAAAATTGCCACTGTTTGCAGATGACATCATACTATACATAGAGAATCCTAAAGATGCCACCAGAAAACTACTAGAGCTAATCAATGAATTTGGTAAAGTTGCAGGATACAAAATTAATGCACAGAAAACTCTTGCATTCCTATACACTAATGATGAAAAATCTGAAAGAGAAATTATGGAAACACTCCCATTTACCATTGCAAACAAAGAATAAAATACTTAGGAATAAACCTACCTAGGGCGTCAAAGGACCTGTATGCAGAAAACTATAAGACACTGATGAAAGAAATTAAAGATGATACAAACAGATGGAGAGATATACCATGTTCTTGGTTGGAAGAATCAATATTGTGAAAATGACTATACTACCCAAAGCAATCTACAGATTCAATGCAATCCCTATCAAATTACCAATGGCATTTTTTACAGATCTAGAACAAAAAATCTTAAAAGTTGTATGGAGATACAAAAGACCTCGAATAGCCAAAACAGTCTTGAGGGAAAAAAACGGAGCTGGAGGAATCAGACTCCCTGACTTCAGACTATACTACAAAGCTACAGTAATCAAGACAATATGGTACTGACACAAAAACAGAAACATAGATCAAGGGAACAAGATAGAAAGCCCAGAGATAAACCCACACACCTAGGGTCAACTAATCTATGACAAAGGAGGCAAGGATATACAATGGAGAAAAGACAGTCTCTTCAATAAGTGGTGCTGGGAAAACTGGACAGCTACATGTAAATGAACGAAATTGGAACACTCCCTAACACCATACACAAAAATAAACTCAAAATGGATTAGAGACCTAAATGTAAGACCAGACACTATAAAACTCTTAGAGGAAAACATAGGAAGAACACTCGTTGACATTAATCACAGCAAGATCTTTTTTTTTTTTCATTTCTTTTTTGTGGTACGCGGGCCTCTCACTGTTGTGGCCTCTCCCATTGCGGAGCACAGGCTCTGGACGCGCAGGCTCAGCAGCCATGGCTCACGGGCCCAGCTGCTCAGCGGCATCTGGGATCCTCCCGGACCGGGGCACGAACCCATGTCCCCTGCATCGGCAGGCGGACCTTCAACCACTGTGCCACCAGGGAAACCCAGCAAGATCTTTTTTGACCCACCTCCTAGAGAAATGGAAATGAAAACAAAAATAAATAAATGGGACCTAATGAAACTTCAAAGCTTTTGCACAGCAAAGGAAACCATAAACAAGACGAAAAGACTACCCTCAGAATGGGAGAAAATATTTGCCAACGGACAAAGGATTAATCTCCAAAATATATAAACAGCTCATGCAGCTCAATATTAAAAAAACAAACAATCCAATCCAAAAATGGGCAGAAAACCTAAATAGGCATTTCTCCAAAGAAGATATACAGATGGCCAAGAAGCACATGAAAAGCTGCTCAACATCACTAATTATTAGAGAAATGCATATCAAATCTACAATGAGGTATCACCTCACACCGGTTAGAATGGGCATCATCAGAAAATCTACAACAACAAATGCTGGAGAGGGTGTGGAGAAAACGGAACCCTCTTGCACTGTTGGTGGGAATGTAAATTGATACAGGCACTATGGAGAACAGTATGGAGGTTCCTTAGAAAACTAAAAATAGAATTACCATATGATCTAGCAATCCCACTACTGGGCATGTACACAGAGAAAACCATAATTCAAAGAGACACATGCACCCCAATGTTCATTGCAGCACTGTTTACAATAGCCAGGTCATGGAAGCAACCGAAATGCCCATCGACAGACAAATGGATAAAGAAGATGAGGTACATATATACAACGGAATATTACTCAGCCATAAAAAGGAATGAAATTGGGTCATTTGTAGAGACGTGGATGGATCTAGAGACTGTCATACAGAGTGAAGTAAGTCAGAAAGAGAAAAACAAATATCGTATATTAACGCATATATGTGGAACCTAGAAAAATGGTACAGATGAACCAGTTTACAGGGCAGAAATTGAGACACAGATTCAGAGAGCAAACGTACGGACACCAAGGGGGGAAAGTGATGGGGATGGTGGTGGTGGTGGTGTGATGAATTGGGCGTTTGGAATTGACAGGTATACACTGCTGTGTATAAAATTGATGACTAATAAGGACCTACTGTATAATAAAATAATAAAAATTTAAAAAAAGCATTTGTGAAAGATACTGTGGTGTTCAAAACTTGCATTACCTTCTCTTTTATGTCTCCTTAATTTTTCCTATTTAATGCACATGTATGTATTTACAGTGAGTTTGCATTTATTTTTTGTTTTGTTTGTTTTAATTATTTTATTTGGCTGTGTCGGGTCTTAGTTGCAGCCCGCGGGATCTTCATTGTGGCATCCAGGATCTTTTTAGTTGCGACATGTGGGATTTGGTTCCCTGACCAGGGATCAAATCCAGGCTCCCTGATTTGGGAGTGGGGTGTCTTAGCCACTGGACCAGCAGGGAAGCCCCCTGCATTTATTTTTTGAAAACAAAAGTGGAATTATTACCATGCAATAGATCTATGTATTTTTTTTATTGAAAAGTCAGAAACTTTGTATGTATCTCCTACCATGGTGTCTTGGTTTGTTTGTAAAGCAGAAAATCTAATTTTACATTTGTCCAACAATGACTTGTTTATGGGATTGCTTATTTAATAGCATCTGACTCTCTTGGGTATAACTACCAGTGTTCCCCCATTCAGAACATTTGGGGAGTGGTATCACATAGATAGATGCCTTTTTTTAAATAGATACAGTGAGTTAGCAAATTGCTGGTAATCAACAGCTATCTGCTCATTCTCTGTATAAGCAACAGGAAGAAGTGTCACCAACTGGTGTGCCACACTAGAACTTAAAATGGGTTTCCCACAAAAACAAGGTTTATAAAATGGTGAATATATAGAGTTAAAATAGTACAATGAGAACTATGTTCCAGATATGTTATGAATTATTTATTCGATACATATTTATGGACAGTCTGCTCTGTACCAGGTACTATTCTAGGCACTGGGTGACAACAATGAACAAAACTCAAGCAATAGCTTCCACAATAACACGGATTAGAATGAAGGAGGCAAACGTTTATTCATATTCTGAGAAGCATCTTTTCAACTTATTTTTCTAACATCAAATAGTAGTTAGTTAACTGTTAAGGGTGACTTGAGCCTTTGCTGCTTTGCTTGCATGTTACACATTTAATTCTAAATATAAATTAGAACCTATACCAAGGGCTAACTTTAGGGAAATCAGAGTAATCATAACAGAAATAAGGAACAACTATTACATAAAATATAATTTTTCTCTCTTCCTCACTATCTTTTTATTCACCTTTCACGGGAATTTCTTCCTGCCCATATATACCCCATGGATTAGGTCAGGAAGATACCTGCCTTAATGGAGCCATAGGAAAACATGAGCATGGTTAAAGGGAAAGGGTGAATCCTTATGTCCTTTCAATTTTTATTGAGCGGATTTATGAGAAGCTGTTGAGGAAAACTGTCCTAAGCACTTTAAATTCAGCCAGCAGCTCAGCTGGCTAATGGCTTTATGCTCAGCAGAAGACATCAGAACCTCTCCCAGTGACCTGAGTCACTGAAATGGACCCCAGGTCAGAGCACTGCAGCCTAAACTTTCATCAATAACACTACGTACTCCTTAAAAGCTCTTTCAAAGAGATCCACATGTTGATCACATTCTGGCAATGTGTTATCTGGTAGGTGGGGGATGAATTTAATGTATTATAAACTTGAAGCAGGGAGGGGTCCCTGCAGAAACCCTAGACGAATTTGATGGGAGAAAAGGGGAGGGTAACGGGCGGGACAAGGGAGCAGTGACTGGCTGGAGTCCCCTGGAGGAACCTGGAGGCCAGGGCTCTGCTTCTCAGTTTTGCTCAAGGTCCCACGTTACTCTTACCGGAGCCCTCTGCGGCAGCCCCCGGCGCTCACATCTGCCACACCAGCAGCTCACTAAAGAAAAACATGATCGTCCTGAGTTCACTAAAGAGGAAGTAAAGCCAGTTTCTTTTTTGTTGTTGTTGTTAGAAAAGTGAAAATTTTAATAACCTTCCCTCCCTTCCCATTCTCCCCTTTTGCTGTGTTTTTAGTTTTAGTTTGATTGCTTTAACTGTTAACAGAAGAAAAAACACTTTCCCCAACTTTCCTTCTTAACTCTCAGATATCTCAGTTCCACCTGCTTTCTTATTTAGATTCCAAAACAAAAGGAACAAAGGAAACTTTTTTCACTTACATGTAGTACTTCCCTTTTTAAATAGTAAAAGTAAATACACGTGGTTATTAAAAAAAAAAAGAAAAAAGTCAAACCATACAGACAAGGAAGACCATAAAATGATAAGCAAAACTCTCCTCCCACCCTGAGCTCAGTTCCACTCCCCAGAGGTAACGTCATAGAAACAATTTTTTCAGTTGACTGAGGTTTAGAATCCACAGTATTGCCAAATTAAAGTGCAGCATGATGGAGGAGTTGTTTCTAAACTAACACCTCCGTAAGCACAGTGTGGATATAAATTCTCACCACTCCTCTTGTGTATCTGGGTCCGTAGACTAAGAAGTAAGAAGGGACTCAAAGCCCTGCCACGTCTCCCTCACTTTTCTCAAAGAAGGAGGACTCATAAATTTCCTCAGGACAGAAGTGTGAGACTCAGACCAGAAGTCAGAGAACTTAACTGGCCTTTGCTTTCATCCTTAGCACCCATGTTGGGGGAGCTAGAGGCACTCAGAGCCACCTTCCAAGATGTTTGTCTCTTGTCCCAACCCCCAGACAGTGCTTATTTCTGAGTTCCCTTCTTTTCTCTTCCCTTAGGAAGAAGAAAAGCCCACTCTCTGTGTGTTCAATGCTGTGACCCAAGAGACAATGCCCATAATGGAGAGCATTTCCCTTCTTGGTAAAAAAGTGTCTGATCTGAGAACACTGATAGCTCTGAGATGTGGATTCCCTGTGAGTGTCTTCTGTCTTCGGACCCCAGAGGGACTGGAGATGTATGACTGCAACACGCTCAGGGACTACCAGACAGACCTCGGTACCGCCCACTATATGTGATAGCAGCTACTACTCAGCACTCAGGTTCTTTGATACCAGACTCACAACAGAAGGAGGAGTTGTTTCTAAACTAAAACCTCTGTAGGCGCAGTGTGGATGTAAATTATCAAAACCCCTCTTTGGTGTCTGGGTCTGTAGGCTAAGAAATAAGAATGGTCACATACCCCTGCCATGTCTTGTTCTCTCTGCTCAAAGCAAGAGAACTTGTTAATATCCTCAGGACAGAAGACCAGGACTCAGATCTGTTTATATTTTTCTCTTTCAAAATATATTTCAAGCATATATAGAAGCAAGTTCTAGTAGATATTCTTTTTCTTCTTTTTAATGCAAGTGGTAGCATATGATACATATTGTTTGAACCTTGTTTTATGAGAACTCATTTTGAAATATTGTCAGTTATATTAAAAAATCTTTTAATTAAACAGTATGAAGCCAATACTATGCAGGCCGAACAGGTGTCTCAGTGAGCACCATTCATCCCTGATGGACAGATTACAACCTCTCTTTAAATATTGTACTTCAGTCATGTCTGCTGTAGCCATACATTATTAAGCCAAACTCAAAGGACTGTCAGATTTGTTTCAACCATATTGGCAAATGGTTCAAACTTTATAGAGATTCTTGCTTGAGGTGAATAAGTTTTTGCTGACAGCACATCTTTAGGCAACATTGTGCTATAACATTTGCTGCAATGGAATTTGATTTCTCCCAACTTATAATCAGGCCTGTAGACATCCATGAATTAAGCAGTTTTGCTTTTTATAACTGCTAAATTTGCATTTATTGTTACTTTCCTGACTATTATGTTTGCTTATTCTTTCATGTTATTTTTAACTGAGGCCCTCAAAACTTTGACATCAATTACCATCCCTGTTTTTGATCAGAGGAAGTGATGTTCTAGCAGTCGTCCTCAGAGTATCTTACTGTAAACACATATCTGCTCTGTGTGCTTGCTGGGGGATCAGCCCTGCACAGAACATGGTGGCGGCTGATTTAAGTAAGGGTACACAAGTGGCATTTGTCTTCAAGCAACTTATGACCTAGTTATTTAATGAAATGCCAAAGGATAAATGAGAAAACTAAGGTGACTGTTCTTCAGGCCTGTGCTGCTCAGATCATGATGTGACATTTTAGAGCACGAAGAGAATTTAGAAATGGCTTGGCCCAACATCTAATTTTGGTTTTTGGTCGTGCACACGCCATGCGGGATCTTAGCTCCCCCACCAGAGTGGAACCCATGCCCCCTGCAGTGGAAGTGTGGAGTCCTAACCACTGGACCGCCAGGGAAGTCCCCCAACCCCTAATTTTTACAGATATAAAGACAGCAAAAAGGTTCTGAATGGTTAAATGACTTGCTCAGGGTGTGTCAAGGATAACATCCCTTAAAATGACCCTCTAGGAAGGAGGTTTTTCAGATGTAAGGTTAGAGGCTCCAGCATGACCTGGGTAGATGGCTTTGGCCACCATGAGAACATAGGGCATGGGAGGAGGGGCAAGGAAAGAGGGAACTCAAAGGAAAAGGAGGAAGAGCCTTTGACCTGCTTCACACCTTTGCCTAAAACACTCCTAGCAGTCTTTTTTTTTTTAATTTAATCCTTGTAAACATTTTATTTTATTTTATTTTTTAAATTTACTTATTTATTTTATTTTTGGCTGCGGCGTCTTAGTTGCGGCATACGGTATCTTTCCTTGCGGCGTGTGGGCTTCTCTCTGGTTTTGGGCTTCTCTCTAGTCATGACACATGGGCTCCAGAGCGCATGGGCTCTGTAGTTTGCGGCACACAGGCTCAGTAGCTGTGGTGCATGGGCTTAGTTGCCCCGCGGCATGTGGGATCTTAGTTCCCTGACCAGAGATCGAACCCATGTCCCCTGCATTGGAAGGCAGATTCTTAACCACTGGACCACCAGGGAAGTCCCCCAAGCAGTCTTTAAGTAGCCAGCCCATTTTAAACTACAGGGTAAGGGAATCTTTGATCTGCCTCTCTTCCAGATTCTCCTCTTTCCAGTCAATGAGTCACCCCTGATGCTGTCAGGAGTTGAACCTTGACCCCTTTCCAAAGGCAGTGGAAAGTCAGAAGGTTTTGGAGAAGCAGTCAAAGAAAATCAAAGATTTAAGTAGCTCAATTAGTCCCTGCACATACTAGCTCATACAGTAATATATAAAACTACCTCTGCACTCTGGGCATTTATAGTAAAGTGGTAGAAATGAAGCACGCACACTTACTCAGTTATAATCCAATAAGCCAGCTCCTTGTAGGCTGAAGGGCTCAAGGGAAGGCTTTTTGGAGAATGTTGGACTTGAGCACACAAAGATGCGAGAAATATGCATCATCTGAGAGGAGGAAGGGAAAACATTCCAGGCTTCTAGGCCAGGAGAAAAGCATGAGCCACAGGCTCAAGAACATGGGCTTACATTTGCAGCAGCATGGATGGACCTAGAGATTGTCATACTGAGTGAAGCATGTCATACTGAGTGAAGCAAGTCAGACGGAGAAAGACAAACATCATATGATATCACTTATATGTGGAATCTTAAAAAATGGTACAAGTGAACTTATTTACAAAACAGAAATAGAGTCACAGACATAGAAAACAAACTTATGGTTACCGGGGGGAAGTGGGGGAGGGGAGAGGGATAAATTGGGAGACTGGGACTGATATATACACACTAGTATATATAAAATAGATAACTAATAAGGACCTACTGTATAGCTCAGGGAACTCTGCTCAATACTCTGTAATGACCTATATGGGAAAAGAATCTAAAAAAGAAGGGATATATGTTTATGTATAACTGATATCCTTTGCTGTACAGTAGAAACTAACACAACATTGTAAATCAACCATACTCTAATAAAATTTTTTAAAAATCAAAAAAAAAAAAAAAGAATGTGGGCTTAATCCAGGGAAGACAGAAAGCAGGAGACTGTTCTAAAGAGTGGAGGAGCCTCGTGGAGACCAATGGGAATCTCACAGCTGAGGTCATATTGAGGAGGGTCTTAGAGGTGAGGCAACAGAGCACAGGTTTCATGTGCTTGCAAACAGAGCCATGTACATTCTGGAACAGGAGTGTTTCAACAGAAGTTTAATCTGGTGGCAGGCAGCATGAAATATAGAAAGGAGTGAGGAGAGCCTGGAAGTAGGGTGATATGCTAACTGGAGCTTTTGATAATCCCAGTATTAATTAATTCCACTAGGAATGGAAGAGACAAATCTGAGAAATTCATGAGAGAGAGACAGAGCATCGTGCTGGGTCACATCTAAGAAGAGGGAAATGCCAAGGCTCTGACGCTAGGACAGCAATGGTGAAGTTGGGAAAAGGAGCTTATGCTTTGGGTCTTCAACTTTAGATATAAGGAAACTCAGAGAGTACATTTTTTTTTCCTGAAAATTACTCAGCTAGTTAGTGGCAAAGCTGTAAGTACAACTGAGGTCTTCTAATTCTACGCCATGACAAATATGGTGCTAGGGCTTGAGTGATGGGTTGGGTTAGCAGATATTGCTGTAGGCGTCCTGCCCATGGCGTTGGGGGTACAGCACAGTGAGAGGTGCTTTCCTTAGACAGTAACTACAGAGAGGGACATGTCAAGGGCCAAGGGCCTTGGTCAGCTCAGATCCTGAAATCTAGGTGGGCTCCAGGGTCCCCCACCAGCCCTCAGGCCCCTTAGAGATCTACTGTGCCACTTTAATTCCTTTTATAAATGAGAAAACTGAGGCTCAGAGAAGTTAAGTGACTTGGTCAGGTCATACTGGTAATAATTAGTCATCCTACACTCAGGATTGGGTTCTTTCCAACAACTTAAACTGCCAACCCAGTGTGTCTTTATTGATACCTATTTTTACTGATGCTCTTTAAGTACTGATCAATATCTTGTTTTGATTCCCACTAGGGGAAACCCAAACCAGACACATGGTTTCCACATTCAGAAAGAAAAAGTCCAAATCAGATAGGCAGATATTAATCCCAGAGTATGCATGAGAAATCCAGAAACTTGGGATATGGGGACCACAGCAGGAGAGGTTGGAGACGATTCCCTAGAATAGGCACTGTTGCTTGCACCTGCTTTCCTGCACAGCTTGGGCATGGTAGGTGGATTTGTAAGTAGAGAGAGGGTGAATCCAGGTTCTGTAGATATATACAATTTGGGGAGTCCACTTTAAACAATTAAGAATAAAGAATTAGAAAGTTCATATAGAAAGAGGTCTTGAAGCATAATTCTCATTAATTTTACTTTCATTTCAGTTATAGATTTTAGTTGTATTTTCTGGAACAACATAGCATTTTTAAAATAAGTTTCTATTTTCTAGCAGAATGCCTAAGCTTATGAAGGAATTTAATGTGTGACAAAGGAGGCATTACAAATCAACTGGAATGGAAGGATTATCCAATAAATGGTGCTGGTTAACTCACTTAGAAATTCTCTGGATATTCCAAAGTTGAGCATTAAGAGGAAAGCCATCCATTGTTACCTTCGATCTTTGAGAAATTAAGACTGCTTCATTGCAAAAAACTGAAATTGATAGTTATAACACCTGTAACATTTGTTCACATAAAATACAGGGCTTGTTGGAGGTGCCCTAACCGATAAGAATTTAAATCACATAGTATTCTCTAGTTTTCAGGGCTCATCAGTAGAGGACAGGTTGAGCTAGGGAGAGCTGAGACCCTGAGGCTGGGCAACCACCTAGGGAAGTGCAGATGGGCCAGGAAGACCCCACCCATAGACATCTAGCAAAAGGAGGTTAGCCTTAAATAGGTCCTGCTGGTGGGGGTCCTGGAACAGGCAGGTCAGTCTGCATTAGCAGTTGGTAAGATGGAGGAAGGCAGAGGGTGATCCAGGGAGATCCAGCAGGGACCCGGCAGGTGAACCATAGCATCAGAGCATCGAGGTAGTGAAT